TTGGAGCAATAAGGACAACAACAGCTAACTGCAGAGTAAGTTTCATTGATCCGGCTTTATTTAGTATTTCCTAGAAATTTTAGGATGGTATTTTTACCCCATACAAACACTATAATTTTACTGGAACCGTACTGTGGTACTATCACAGAGCCTGGGTTACCTGTGTAATTACTTGCTTACCCTGTGCAAGCCCAGTGTTGAAAAACAATTATACAACACAAAATCAGACATTATTAATTCCTTATGGCGTTCATATAACGGCAGGGTAGTATTTTTCAACATATCGTGCTTTTGACATAATTTTGGTGCTCTTACTGTTATGAGCAGGGTCGATATGTTTCTGCTCAACAAATACACATCAGTAGACAATACAACTAGTCCTTCGTGTTAATTTGTCATTGTCATCTGGATTGCTGCCCAAGGAACTTAAGGTGGCGCTGCTATCACCTATTCTTAAGAAATTAAATGCAGACTTTGAGCAGTTTAGTAATTTTCGCCCTGTATCAAATTTAAAGTTCCTGTCTAAATTGATAGAGAAAGCAGTGTTTGTGCAATTGAATAGCTATCTTGGCGAAAATGATCTACACGAGCCTCTTCAATCAGCGTACAAGATTTTTCACAGCACCGAGACTGCACTTCTCACAGTTACAAATGACATTATGCTGTCATTGGATAAGGGTGAGAATGTTTTCCTCGTTTTATTGGATCTGTCGGCAGCATTTGATACCGTTAACCATTCCTTGCTGCTGGCACGACTGCAGAAATCATTTGGTATCAGAGGAACTGTACTGCAATGGTTCGATTCTTATCTTTCTCAAAGAACTCAGTTTGTAAACATCAATGAGGCGAATTCTACGGTACGAGATCTTCCCGTGGGTGTTCCCCAAGTTCAGTTCTTGGACCTGTTCTCTACCTTCTGTATACTGCGCCACTTGCTAAAGTGATAAGATCTTATGGCTTAGATTATCATCTATTCGCCGACGATACTCAGTTATACTTTGCATTCAAATCGGTGGATGTGGACGCTGCTAAATCGAGGGTCGAGAACTGCGTTTCTGCAATATGTCGCTGGATGGATCTCAACGAATTGAAGCTAAACCACGACAAGACGGAGGTCATGCTTATCCACTCAAAGCATCGTCCCTCTCCATCCTTTCAGTCCTTATGTGTTGGTGACGAGAGCGTGGCTGCCTCTCAGTCGGCTAGGAGTCTTGGTGTTATCTTTGATGAGCACATGTCTTTTCATGCACATGTGTCTAGCATCTGTAGATCATCATTTTATCATCTCAGGAACCTATCTAGAATTAGGAAGTATTTCACTAAAGAATCAGCAGAAGTTGCTGTTCATGCATTTGTCACATCGAAACTAGATTACTGTAATCCATTATTATACGGCCTACCTAAGTATCAGTTACAAAGATTGCAGTATGTACAAAACACGGCGGCTAGAGTTGTGTTGCAAGTGAGTAAGTTTCAGCATATCACACCTGTTTTGTGTGCGCTTCACTGGCTACCGATTCAATATCGTATTATTTTCAAGATTCTGCTCGTCGTGTATAAATCACTGAATGGGACATCGCCTAGCTATTTAGCTCAAAAACTACATTATCGTCCTCATTCTAGATCATTGAGGTCTGTTAGTAATGAACTTTTAATGCAACCTAGATCGTATACCAAGACCTACGGAGATAGAGCATTCGCTGTTCATGCACCAAGAGAATGGAACTTAATAGCCTATGAAATTCGGAAGTCCAACACCATCTCGAGTTTTAAAAGATCACTTAAGACGTACTTGTTTACTAAATTCTGTGATAACGGATCATTGTTTTTATAAATTTGTATATATTGCGTTAGTTTTAATTTTTTCCCTTTTTTTATCATTATGAATATGGTTTAATAGTTGTTTTAGTTTCAATTTTTCCTTTTTTATCCATTGTAAATATATTAGGATATGGTCGTAAATTTGTAAATATTTTTCAATAATGTTGTTTACATGATTGTAAAGCGCCTTGAACATAGGATAAGAGCGCTATAGAAATAAAGTTATTATTATTATTATTATTAATAATGACTTACTACCCTAATACGTTCGTTTCACATTGACTGTAAGCTGTTTTTCAGTTTTATTCGATTCTTTTAATCGACATAAAAGTAACACCATGCAAAACACGATCCACAGAAAAACCATAGAGTCAACCTTATAATATCGGGCCCGCACAAACGATCTCATAAGCGGTTGTCGTTACTGTTTTGTTACTGTAGAGCGGGAACGTTTCTGTTGCTCTTTTTAAGTCGTGACTGCTACAGCTCTGGTCGTTGCGGTTGTTGGTGGTAGTCTCTGTTACGTTTCTGCTCTTAAGGCGTCTCTAATTCTTTGCATACTTCTTTTTTTACGGTTCTTCCATCAGTGTGATTCGACATTGTATGTTGTGGAAAATTTCGCCGTTGTTTTACAACAGCACCCCGTTTTCACAACATCAGTAGCAACAGTTTGTAAAGAATGACGAAAAAGTTCCTATTTTTCTATCGTCAAAGCATGTTTAACTGACCACTCCCTCCGAATGTCTTGAGGCACTAAGTGATGAACAACCTACAAGATAAGTTTAAGGTTTAATAAATAATACATTGTACAACAAACAACAGCATTTCTTCCGCCAATCATTGCAACTGAACAACACACACGGTCACACCCAATGAACAGTAAACAAAAATACTACAACAAAGCTACTCCTCTTCAGTCGTAACTGTGGCAACCAAGTGGTGCATATACAAGAGTTTTCTCAAAACGTTCGTGCAAGCTACTCGGATCTGTAAACTTTGTAGGAATCTATGTTTTGGTTCAATTTTAGCCTTGATCTGAACTTAATTTCCCTATGTTTTGCGAAATGGTTATGTACGATAATGAGCCTGAAACAAAGGAGAATAAAATCTAAGCTTATGAGAACATTGGACCAAAACACCTACTTTACAGCGGTTTCGCTTTTGCTATCGTTGTCTGTCTGGTGTTAGTCCGGCCCTCGCTGTTCAAAAACTGGATAGCAATTTCCACCGAATAAAAACCTGGGCAATTTGTAAGTACTCTTTTCGAACAGTGGTGTGGGTTCTTTTACGTCCCATAAGAACCAGATAAGTCAAAGTACTGTGACCCGGGACCTACGGTTTTTCGTCCTTATCCGAGAAGACTAGAAAGTCTAACGGTTTGCAGATGTCATTGCAAAGGCAGCACTTTCCCCTCAATTATTTAAAAACCCTAAGTGTTGGTCCGGCCGGGGTTTGAACCCACGACCTCCTGCTCAGCAGACCGGCGCTCTCCCAACTGACCCAGCCAGGCGGTTTTAAAAGGCAATCAGCCTCAAAGAGATGCTCCCTCACGCAATTATTCATTTAAGGGGTATCAAATAATGGGGTATTTCTTCTACGGAGGTTTTCTGACCATGGCAAATTAAGTACATTTGAACTTTAAAACTTACCTCTGTGCTGTGAGAGCCAATCTTGATAATGTAGTCCAGATCCCCGCGGTCACTTAGGCAGTTCCTACTTGCTCTACAGTCAACTCTAACATCAACTTCACTGTGTGACTGGTCACAGAAAAAAATATATAATGCCCTTAAATACGAAATACAATTAGGAATGTACACAAGATTGCTAAACTCCTAGCAGTCTCTTATTTTTGTTTTGAGTCACAGTAGATGGAGAGCACCCGTGAAGGGACTGCGGGAGAGTGAGATTGTTCCCAGGGCCTTAATATTAGTATTCAATGGAGTACATTACCCCGCAAACCTTAGTCTAGTGAAGGAAAAAAACAAGGGTAACTTTGATTGAAGGTTATCCGAAAATTTGGTTCCTCTTGTCAAGATATCTTTTATTAGTAAAATCCAACTAGTGGTCTATCATCAATGCTGCGTTCTGATTGGTTGAGCTATATGTTATAGCCCACTAGTAGCGAAAAGCACGGGCTTTTTGGCGGCAAAAAAGGAGTAAAGTCTAGCTTTAACTAGCTAAAAGTTTTTTTCTTTCTCGACATTTTTGACCAGCTAGTTGGATTTTACTAAAATAATTATTCCTCTCGCCCTCATGGCCTCTGAGTCTATATTATCAATATATTATATTATCAATACACGAGAATCCTGTGGTACTGGCCAACAACGCACTCCAGTGAGCCAACCCTTACAGAATCAGTCTCCACGGCGCAAGACGTTGAAATATCTGTTGCGGCTACACTTGCCATCCATTTTGCCCTTGCGTATAATTTTACCATGACCTTCAAGCACAAACGCTTTACTGTGGAAACTTCATTCAATTTTCACTGAGAGGGGTGGGGGGGGGGGTCATTTTTGCATGAAATAATGCGATATTTTGCCAATAGAGAGTTTTAGATCCGAGTTTACCGCGAACCTCTAACCGCTGGAGGTCACGTGACAAGTCTTTCGCGTCACGTTTGAGGTTTACGACGCGCGTTTTCAACGTGGGGAGGTAGGTTTTCACGTATGTCATTTACCTGAAAGCTTTTAGCGTATAATTCTCTATACTTATCCCACGTTACGATACAAAAATCTTGTGGAGCAAGTCTTTATCCATTAACAGAGGCACAAATTCGGGCGAAATGTTTAATTTAATAAATCCTATTGGATCTTGAAAACAAGTGCCATTCATGGCTGCTGATTCAAAATCCGGCCGTAAATTTGCGAGAAAAACTTATTTAAGAATTTACAGCTCTTTGCTGCTAGATAAACCCAGTGTTACCGTAAATTTCTTTTATTTTCACTGATTGATATTTCTTCTATTTCTAAATGGAAAAATAAACCGGAATCCACTTCTTTAATGCACCGCCAATCTAAATCCAATTATATTTGAACGTCGAACCGCAAACGGGTAACCGCAAACCGTAGTTAGAGGTTCGCGGTAAACTCCGATCTAAAACTCCCTATTAACATTTTCCAGTCACTCATCTAGCTTGCTGAGCGCGCAAGACGTTTGAGTTTTACATTAGTGTTGTTTACGTTATACTTTACCATGTTTTGAAGCACCAGTGTTACTCTGAAGGGGTTTTCATATCGGTACAAAATAAGATCCTTCATTCCTCTCACATTATCCTTTTTGGAGAAGTTATTTAACACTGATGATAGGACAATCTTATTCAGAAGTTCACTTTTGTTGTCCGATATTGATGTCACTTCAAGTGTCGGCCTGCACTTGTTACAGAACGCCTCCAGCAAAAATGGACAGGACTGAAATGAAAGAAAACAACAGCAAAACAAAAAATCGGTTTACTTATCATGATATCGTATCTGAAAGTTTGATTCTAAGTAGACCAAAAAAATTGCGGGTTTACTTATCATGATAATCATGACTAAAAGTTTTGCTTGTAAGCAGTCTCTGCATCTTCCTTATCCTGCAACGGCTAAACCTTACTTTAATCACATAGAAAGCATCTGTTCTTTTTGCAACTGCAGAATTGGTAAAGAGTCCTTCTCTCTGGCAATAGGTTTGGTATAATACAAGGTATTCAAGTGTTCCATGATAACGCCATAATTTCCGACATATCTCCGAGTCGCGCACTCCCTCAGAGACGTCTGAATCGACGAGCCGTTGATCTAATACATGCTATCCGGTGACGTCACGTCACTACACCTTTGCCGAAATGGTGTACGTAGTATAACAACAACTTAATCAAGTTTATAACATGTTAAAAAGCAAAACAAACATGGCCGTCTATGATGCTTGAAACCTGACTTTTCGCCAGTCTCCGCACTAAGAATTTCCACCAATATGATCACTTCAATCGTTCAGCGCGCTGGACTGTTTGACAGAGATCAAAGCGCTTACATGGATACAAGGCTTAGGATCAGGGTTGTGTATTACTACTTATAAGTACCTGATCCAACTCAAGAGCATTATTATAACCCATGGACTCAAGAGTCACCCATAAATCATTGGGATCTCCGTCAGAATCCTGAGCCTCCATCAAGTTCAACTCCAAGAATCCGTTTAAAGTGATTTCATCATCATTCATTTCAAAATTATCTAATAAAACAAAGGCAAGAGAACAAGATGTATGAATGACCTACGCTGGAGCGGAGATGCTAGTGGAAATCAACCGAGGGGATTTAAAAAACTCTGCTTAGTTGCATTACACAAAAGTGGACACTTGAACACAGGTCTATCACTTTTGTGTGGCCAGTCAAAAAGGAACGTTTTCGAAAAGCCATAGATAGGTTCTAATGAATGATATTTTGGCGAGCTACTGTATGCTCACATTGTGGTTGGCTTCTCCTAAAATGTTCTACAACTGGTATAGGATTTAACCCAAAAACAATCGTAGAATTGCACACATTTCAAGTATCCCACAGATGAACGGTTACGACAGTTAGATATACTGCAGGAGTAACAATCATTCATAGTCTGTCCCCTTTCAGAGCTTCAAAACACGCTACATAGCAGTGATGATCAAAACACTTTTTTAATTTGATCGCTAAGCTTCAACACTTCGTATAAAGTCCAATTCACCTCAATACAAGCTGGAGGAGGATGTAGTTTTTTAGTAACAGGTAAATGGGCCAATCAGTAGGGGCCGTATAAGTGGGGGGAGCTTATAATCGGAAGTTTACGGTAGCTTGCAGCGATTACTGATAGTTTTTAGGGAAAATTTCGAGGACAACTGATATTCCATTTTGAAAATGACCCATCCGGTTGAGTAAATTGACTAAACAGACGAACAAAAAAATGATTATTGCATGTAGGCACTATCAGAAGTGAGCAAACTAAGGCTTCAAATATCTACTCACCTTTCATTACTTCCCAAGCATCATCATCGCACTCTTCACCAGTAGATTTCATATGGAACAAGTTAAACTCTTCACGACTTAAATATCCATTTTCATCCAAGTCACAGCGGTCAAAAATGTCGGCAAGAGCTTCTCTACAATGAACAAAATAAAAGATTTTCAAACAAACAATCTCAGGGTAGAATATTAAAGCTTGACATGTGATAGACGTATATGTTGTGGTTCAATTTTATCCTTGGTTTAAATTCTATTTTTCATTGTTTCAAACTCATTATCGTACATTACCATACCCAAGAACAAAGGGAAATAAAATTTAAACCAAGGATAAAATTGAACCACAACATATATAATGAAATAAATCATATAGGAACTGCGGAAATGAAATTAAATGAAGAATGATCCTCACAGTTGTGAAAGCAATTTACGCAATTACGTAAGAAGCCTGAGAAAAATTCAGGACTTCGACGGGGTTTGAACCCGTGACCTCGCGATACCGGTGCGATGCTCTAACCAACTGAGCTATGAAGCCAATGATGTTGGGAGCTGGTCAATTATGTGACCAGTTCCCGTAAAAGAGATGAATGTGATAGATGTATATGAAATAAATCATAAGAGAACTGCGGAAATGAAATCAAATGAAGAATGATCAGTAAATATTAAAAAAAGTGGGAAACATGTTACAATCGGATTGAGTTCCGACGAAATTAAACCCATGACCTCACAGACACCGATCGGGTGTCCTATCCACTAGGGTATGGAGAGACTCAACGTAGCAAGACCATATTTTAATATAATAGGTTCACATTTGACACACGTCCTGCACACGGCTAGTATTTGCACTGTCAAGAGCGTACTATATCGAGATAAATAAAGGGCTCTGCTTGCAAATGTTTCATGGTTACCGATGTCAGGACGCCAATTTAAAGTACACAATTTACAAATTTAAAATTAAAAACGATCTTTGTTAGGTGGGGAGGTAGCAATTTGACTTGAGAAGAAGCTAAGGACAACTCATCACCACCAAACAAGGTTTATCCTGTTTTGAGACGAAAAAGTCTTTAAGGACAACTTTTAATTGTCCGGCGATGCAACTCTCGCGTATAAGAATCTTATATGGATAACATGTGAGAATCAGTTTGTTTGTCTGAATCACATCTGGAACCAGAACATAATCATCTGACAGGTGTATTTAGCGTTACTTTAATAGCAAGTTTATTTGGTGAATTATAACTCATCCAAATCAATGGTGATTCAAGGGATTTGAAGACATCACAAAGTTTTGGAGTGGTGGAATAAACTTCAAAAGTGGAGTAAACACTCCCTGCTACAATAGCGGACCAACGTTCTTAGACACGCTCGCCTCTTCTTAACTAACCTGAGAAAACAGCCGAAATTTTGCGACGCTATCGCTGGTTTCCCCACGAAATGACGACTGACATACGAGAGCAGAAATTCCATACTGATGACGTGTAACTACCCAGTTCTGGGTAGTGCTTCTGATTTGTTCTGCCACGTGGGTGAAAGCACTACCCAGATGTGGGTAGTGACGCGTCATCAGCACGGAATTTCTGCATACGTTTCTCAAATGTCATTTCGCGCCGGGGACACCAGGGGTGTCGTCGCGAAATGTCGGCTGTTTTCTAAGGCTACTTCTTAACAGCAAACAAAGGTCTATGCAATGCGTCCTCCCCTCCAAAAAATACACTAAGGTGTTAACCAAAATTATATTATCTATTGTTTATAAAGAGACCCATTTTATTGAAAAGAACAAAGGCACGTTTTATGTGCATGAGCTATTTTGAATGCTTCAGTGTATGATTTTTTATACTCTACCTTGAAGCAGGTGAAAGATAACTCATAAATTATGAAATGCGTGCGTTGTACCGTTCCCGATAGCGGAATTACGTCATAGATGTCTTAAAGCAGCACCCGTACTAAAATCTGAATCCTCAAGCAGCAGCAACACTTTGATCAATTTTGAATCATAAAGATATTTAAATGTTATGCTTCTAAACACCTTTAGTCGTAAAAAAGGCGAAAAAATTGTCAAGAACCAAGATGGAGGTCTCAAAGTGCCCTCGTTTGACCTTTAGCAATTTCATGTTTAGATGCCAAAATCTCATTGTTTCCTGGCATCAACTCAAAGTACCTCCAACCTTATTGGCCCATCATCCTGCTACAAACATTCAAAGCCACAAAGATACATAATAGAGCAAAAAGGAGCACTTCCGTTGAAAAGCCCCAAAGATTTTTAACAATGACGGTAACACTTTCCTTACGTAAGGGTACTAAAATTTAAAATAAACCTGTACAGTTAATACTGTCTAAAAAGAAGAGCAACATTACCTAAACATTTTTGTGAGCTTAGTGTTTTCTCCAGAGCCTGTAGTCAGATTTACTTTCTTTGAAGGCTGTGATTTGCGTACAGTGAGATGGCAGCCAGTTGTAAAGGTTATCAACTTGTACGTTCCTCTTCTTAGTTCACACTGAAGACAATATTTCTGGAATAACATACAACAGCAGAAGGCCATCCAAGAGTGATTTATACACACATGAAACTGTGTTATTCCTACTCTTGAATGTTTGGAATAAATTCTGAGGTGTCACCATTCATATGAAACCTCTTCAGCAGTATTTCCTCATGGTATCATTATTTTGTTTTCTTAGTATTTTCGAATTTTAAAATGCAATGACAAAAAAAAATTATTATTATTATTATTATTATTATTATTATTATTATTATTATTATTATTATTATTATTATTATTTGCCACCTATGAAAGTGAAGTGGACAACCAGTTTAAACATGCACTACCAGAGTTAGATTGCAAAAAAGGAATAGATTCTGTAAGTTTATTAATGCCTCTAAATATTCCATATATATTTACACAATATATTTCCCAACTACAATGTAAACGTACAGCTGCAACAAACAAAAAGTGCTAAACAAAAAATCACCTTTGATTGAGGGAATTATTCAGTTTTTGTATGGAAAATGGCATAATTATGTGGTAAATGCGCCAAAATTCTTATGGAGGAAAAACAATACACGTATACTGACATTATATTATGGGGCAAACAAAATTGTATGATGACACAATGGCAATGAATTATACAATAACATAGTTCCAGATTTCATGAACAAAATGATAAGAAGGTTTTACCAACCACCTACAAATACATGTAAATAGAAAGACAAATTTTTTTAGACTGTATCAACCACAATAAAATTAATTATTTATACCAAAAGATAAATTTTTCTTCAACATACATTAATGCACTTTCTTCACACACAATTTGTAATGAAGCTGAGAGCATCAAGGTGACAACAAAACCCGGGCTTTTGTAATACTGTACATGTACGCCCTCCCTATAAAGGCCTATACAGGGAGGCTCTGCCCATGCGTGAAAAGGTCTACCTTTTTCAGGCTTCAAGTATATGAAAGGGTAGGAATTTCACTAGCTGAGGGATTTTATGGTTGTGAAAACGTCGAGAAAATTTTCTAACTTTTCAATTTGTTTACATTATACGTTTTTTAAAAAAGTGCATTTACAGCAATTAAAGGTGATCCAAAGTTCTAAACTAGGTAGGCGAAAGGGGTACTTTTTCTGTAAAAAATGTTATATAAAAGGGTGGACCTCGGACCGGAGCCAGTTACACATCAAAACACTTACTTGCCCAAGTTTAGACTCACTGAACGTAACCAGCTCTGAGTTTTCATCCACACAGAAAACTGCCATGTCAGTTCTCTTTAAGCTATCTAACACTGAGTTAATAAATACAGCATAATTATTGAAGAGCAAGATAAATAAACTATTATTGTCAAACTAAGAAAGTTTTGAACATCTTAAACATTTTAGGGATGTTTATTGTCTTATGACCAATCACAGTTAACATATGAACACACTGGCACTGGTAAGCAAGCCACAAAACCAAATTAGTAACAACAAAAATAATATATTTACTAAACTTCATTAAAGTCAACCACTGAAGTCCTAAAGTCAATTTCACTGTTTGGGATTAAGTCCTTCACCTAAACCAATAGAGTCTTCACATTCTGAAACCAGTTATCTTATAACAAGTACAAAAATTAATAGATGTATGCATATGCAAACTTGGACATGATTTGAAGATCCTACATGTACAAGTATATCACCTACTCTCTGGAAAAGTGAAGAACAGCTCCCCCAAAAAACTGTCGGCCGACTGTTGCTCAACATAATTCTTCAGATGATACTCAGCCTCATTCAACAATATTGTTAAATGTATTAAAGACCAAGATAAATGACTGATTTGACCTACATGTCACTCCACACATCAAAATAATGCCCTTTAAAAGATTACCCATAAGTTATATTTCTTCTTTGTAAGACATAAAGGACATATACCTTTTTTGTTAGGTGCAGGTTGGATGGTTATAAAGACATCAGTATCTCTGTTTATCTGCAGTTTATACTCATGACTACTAATGACTCCATCATTGTCAATAAACAAGCCACCTTTACTACTAACATGACTCCAATCCTGATAAAACAAACAATTTTCAAACATGGTCAACTGCACAGTTAAATTTGATTTTTAATTAATTTTTTCCTAACTGTAGTTTTCTGTACTACAATGTTGCTGACAGTGAAATTTAACACACATGTACATTCTTCCTGTGGATCGAAACATGTCAACACTAAATCCTTAGGAAAATTATTTTGAGAACTTTGTCAAACTTAATTGCTTCTCCATGATGCTTTCACGATAGATCCTGATGAATCACACTTTCCAAAATTTTCTGGCAAGTAGTTTGGTGACATTGGGAGTTTCAACACTTGAAATAAAATAAAAAATTGCATAATTATATGCAATAGATTAATCCAGTGGCACAGTGCTTGCACACGGGCTGCAGAATTTGTGAATTTGACCAGTGCAGTATGTTATCAACAATAAGTTATCTTTATGTGATGATGCCCACATTTCCACATTAGACAACTGATACTCACTTGATACATGTCAGTGATGCATATTCCACCACTTTTAAGGAACAATAACCTTGCAGACTTGAACAATAACCTCATCAGACTTGCCTACTGGCCATACACTGTAACTTCAATATTAATAATGACTAGCGGTAATCAATAGCTAGTGGGATCATTAGCGCGAGTAAAGCTTTGGCAGAGAAGCTGCAAACCCGTTTAGAGAATGGGGAGGAAACGCTTTGAAATCCTGGAATTTTCTCATGCCTTGGGTGCTTGCTTCTCAGAGCAAAGCCACAAGAATGGCAGCTTTGCTTCAAAAACTCTCACACATGCTAAAACAATTCTGCTTAAGCTATGTAGGTTATAGTTACAAAAAGGAAATTACATTTTGTATAAAAACTGATCACAGTGTAGATGTACCTTTAGATTTTCAGGTTCCTGAAAGTTTTTATTGCTTGTAGCCTGTCTTTTATTAAGAGAAGTCTGTGAAACTAGTGGAGAAACAATGTCATCATCTCTGGCCAGTCTTTTTAAACTTTTGTCTTTGCAATCTTCAGCTGTGGCCAACAGCATAGCTGCAAACTAACATGCAAGGTGACAAAGTAGCTAGTGGTGTTATCAATACATGTACATTGTTAGTAAGATTTCTGGATAAACTGTCTGTAATTTTGGTTTTGTACATGCATCAAACGAGCTCCATTTTTAATTCAAATATTTACATTGCAGTTTTAAAATACATAAATAAATTGACAATTTAATTTGCAAGTTGTGGGTGTTTCTTGTGGCTGCAGAAACCATGTATTGTTGGTTCACAAGTTGAGCGTAAACGTTTTTGCTGAAATGACATGAATCAAGCATGCTATACTGGTATGTACTTTAGAAATATTGCCTTTATAAAAAGTAAAAGAAAATGTAAGTAAACAGTTGATAATTTCTTACTACATGTACTGTGAATTTAGGCCACTAAGGAAAAGAGGAAATTCCTAGCCTGTTCCAAGCGTTCAGATGGTGGAGAGTGGTGTGAAGTAAAGAAAGCGATGAAAAGTAGAGGGGGACTGGGGAGAGAGGTGCGGGAACGCTTGTAAGAATTTTTAACAAAAGTGCGTTCCGGTATACCAGATCCTGGTATACCCTCTGATTGGTTGATTTTGACATGTTTTTGTCAACAGTGGAGCGTCTTTGATCACAGCGAGAAATGCGATATGGCAGTGATGACAGACTCTACGTCCCGTCCAGAATTCGAACTCACAACAAACACAGCGCTGAGTGACTTTCCAAACGTGGAGGCTAAACGCGAAGAGCAAAGGAACTGTTTAAAACAGGTAGTCGGCAGGATAGATGTCTTCGCAATTTCACCGACTGGCTTTGGAAAAAGACTTATTTTCCAGCTTTGTCCTCGAATAAAGCGTACATTGGAAGGAAGGCAGGATAGAATGCCATTTATGATTGCTGTGGTAACTCCGTTGTTTGCCATCATGAAAGACCAAGTGGAATTTTTGAACAAAATCGGAGTAGCGGCGGCAATGATGGGGGAAGATGTGGATGAAGCCGTTAAAAGTGGAAGCTTTGAAATTGTATGATCCTTAAAAATTCACTCAAAGGCGTACTGCAGTCACAAATCGTGGCTGTCTAAGGAATGGACAAAAGGACTTCAAAAGGAAAGCTTGGAAAGCAAGTTGCAGCTATCGCTATTGTCGAGGTCCACTAAATCACCGAATAGTAAATTTTCTCTTCGTTTGTTGGGGATTTTCATTGCTCAAGTTAACGATCTGTATTGAAACAGCTTTTTATCGAAATGAGCGATATTTGTTTGTCACTTGATTCATATTTTTTTTGTCACGTACATGCTGAAATCATGTTTTAAAGCCGTAAATAAATTACTTCTCCCGCTCTCTATTGTCTGAAAGTCTTACACTAAGTTTTTAGTAAGATTATGTATAGTTACATAATATTAATTTTTGATCTGAGAAATTTTGATTTATTCGTAAGAAAAATAATAAATGTATGGGGCTGTAACATCAGTCTTAATTGACAAGTGAAGACCACCTACAGCTGATGCGGTCTGAGTGGGCGGATGAGTCTATTTAAAACAAATCTAACAGGCGTTCCCTCTCTCACCTCTCCCCCTCCCTCGCTTATATTTTTTCGCACTCCTTTTTACTTCGCACCACTCCCCACTATCTGAACGCCTGGAACAGGCTAGGAAATTCCAGGTAGTGGGAGTTAAAGAAGACCCTTCTGGAATGGAAATTCTGGGGAGGGGGGGGAGTATGTTTTTTTTTTTTTCTGGAATGACACATAACTTGACCATATTCAGCATCGTTTCCTTTTCAATAATGAAGACCCCCCCACCCCCCTCCCCCCACCTCCAGGTACAGTATCTCTCAACTAATTGCATAAAAAGCAAAAATACATTCGTACAATAATACCATACAAAACTTGGACCCCTACAGAACTGTAGTCCATGGACCACTTCTCTGTACCGTGGACCTAGTCCATGGACCCCTTTGTGGACCCGGTCAATGGACTACCCCTGTGGACCACCCCTTATTTTGAAGATTAATTTTTACCAGAGGTCTTAGCGAATGTTAGAAACCTTTAATGGATGAATCTGTGTCAATTTATATTATTAGGATTAAAGGCTCTTCATACATTTTACACTTGCTCAAGTTTTTCCTGAATTCCATACAAGGGTTCGGTTTAGTCAGGTGGAGGAGTAAGAGTATTTGAAGGGGACAGGAGGAGAGATAGGAAGGAGGTATTCACTTGACACAGCTTTTTTGTGTGCGTTGTCATCACATTGCATGAAAACGGCTGCATAGGAGACTAGGGAAGAAGAGGAAATGCTTTATGCATGATCATTGAGTACCCTCCCCATGCCTCCCCTTCCATTGACAGCCTTTGGAAATGTCTATTGGTCGGCAAACTCATTGAAGTCATTGAATCCTGCTAACGAATTAAGCCCAAAATGACATGCATATATTATCAAACAATGAGGTTGGTCAGGCCTCTAACAGGTTGGTTCATGTAAATTGCCATTCATTTAAGTCGAGATTGTTGTCATTACAATTAAACACTCCCTCGTTAAGCTACCTCACTAGTCTCGTACGCATCTGCTTTTTTTTGTTTGTTTTTCTTTGCAATGTTCACACGACGTGAAGACATAACAAACAAGCTGCGTAGGAGACTAATTTTTTCCTACCTCTCCTCCCACCCCCTTCAAAAATGGTTGCTTCTTCACCAGACTAAAGTGATCCGATTATACATTGGTATGGAATTCAAAAAAAAAATTGAACAAGTGTAAAAAAAATAATATGAGGAGCCCATAACCCTGATAATGAAAACTGATTACCGTTTTGTCCATTTTTAATAGGTTCCTAAAATTTGTTTAGACCTCTGGTTAAATTAATCTTCAAAAATTAAGGGTGGTCCACTGAGGAAGTCCATGGACCGGGTCCACAGGGGTGGTCCATGGACTGGGGGTCCATGTTTTGTACACATCCGTTCAGTACTACTACAGCAGCTACACATGTATAACTAACAATAATACTATGAAAGTGAACATGATCTTTGTAGTACATAGGTTGTTCATTCTACTGCGAAGATCATGTTCAGTTTCATATCTTTATCCGGAGTTCAAAATATCATTTATTTTTCATATAGTTCAAATCATAACAATACTATTCATAACAGTCCCTTACCTCACTGTAATCCAGTTTTCCATCATTGTTAACATCAGCATTATCAAGTATCACTTGTACCTCAGCTTTAGTCATCCTCTCCCCTCGCTATCAAAAAAAATAATAATAATAACATCTAATACATGTAATTTTAAATCATTACAAATGCATTTGTTTGGAAACAGGTCATTCTAAAAAGTTGGAAAGAAATGTACATGTGTAGATCTAAAGAAAGCACAAAAAGCAGATGTTCTTTCTAATTCATACAGTAGTGGTTCCCTCAAAACTGCAGTTGAGCAAGACGTATGTCACTTGTTAAAAATATAAACAATTCATACATTCATACCCCTTGCCAAACTTGCACACAGTACCTTGGTCAGTAGTCCAAAGAGCTCATCATACGTGATGTAACCATCACCATTTGTGTCAAAACATTTGAATGCCTTGATCAAGGATTCCTTATTTAAAGGCTTTTCCTTTCTCATGATGTCACAAAAATCATTATATGATATACTGTCTGCAATGAAAATCGCAAAAAGGACGCAAGTACACTGAAAACACATATGCACACTACATTTACAGACGTTTTGACTTCTGGTGACTCAAAGGTCCTCCTTCAAGGGAATTCATATCACACTCTCATGGCAAACATCAGGGTTCTCATTAAGTGCCGACAGCCAGCTAAAAAGCCGGCTACTTGGAGGCTTGAGCCATCTACTTTTGGGGGAAATAGGGTAAAGTTAGAGAGTGAAAGCCTGAAATTGCCTACAGCAAGTTCAGTTACTAAGCCACCTACTTTAACATCCTAGCTGTCTACTTGAAAAATTAATGAGAACCCTGAAACATGATGAGTATTGTGCACAGTAACTAGTACAATTGACAATTTTGTATAAAATTATTTCTCAGTGTGACTTACAAGCTCAAAATTTGTACCACCTTTAATTTCTATAATTACTTACAATACCATACATGATGCACTCCAAACTGCTAATCTTACACAATCCTTATAGCAAACATCATAAAATTATGTAGTACCATGAAAAAAAAGTTAATTGACAGCCTCTTGCAAGTCTTCATTCTCAACTCAATTCTCGATTTCTGCAAAAATTTGAGTATTTAGAGACAAGAAGTGGTCACCAAGACTCAATTCAAGAATTGAGTGTCATGAAACAGAGTGTCGCGAAACAGAAAGCAATAGACTCATCCTTGAATGATTTGTAAATGATAACAATGAAGTCCAGTGATCTGAATGAGTCCATCTTTTGAAGAACAGTAAGGAGAATCTTCACGCTGATAGCAGAGTATGGTTGAAACTTCCCACACTCTCTACTCACCTGTGTCATGTTTCCAATATTTCTGAACAACTTTGACTGATGGATTCCGTCCACCAAACTGAAGGGCTGGGTAAAAGAATTGATAACATTAATGAAGTACAATAAAGTTTCCTGAACAAGTCATCAACATTCAACAGTTACTCCAAGCTCAACTGTGCTCGACTTTGTTGCCTCTTCGCTACTTTTTACTCAAAAAATAGTCGCCATACAGGCATATATAATTATGTAAAATATTTGTTACCAGAAAAAAGACAATATCCCCTGGCCTGAAGCCAACACACAACAGAGGGCACCAGCTTTTTGCAACATTACGTGAGACATTTGATGCAAAAAAAATACATGACTTTAAATTTGTACAGGTGTTGCTGTAACAGGGAGGCTTGTGTGGACCTTTTACCCATCCTATACACTGGCTGCATTGAAAGTGTTTTTTGCATACACCCGCAAATTACTGTTTCTGTAAATGTAACCATCATGTTGAAACCGACATACCAAATTCCCAAAAAGAAAGGAAGCGTTGCCCCTATCACCTACACTAAGGGTTGCTATTCCAGATTCCACCCCTCCCCCCCACCGCCAATCTTGCTCTGTTATAATGTCACATATGATGGCTACAGTAATACAACCATAGACAAACAACCTTCACCCCCTCCGCTGTGGAAAAAACATAGAAAACACTCACAGGCTATCCTGTACACTGTTATAAAGTGCTGGTCAATAAACAAAGCTAAAGGTTGGTTTTAAATGGTGACGTATTCAACAGAGTCTCTAACGAGAAGTGTAGAATATTATGATCTACTGAAAACAACAAACTGTTGCCACTAACAAGTCTGTCAGTTATGATCCAGTGAAAACTACACTAACTAGATCAGTTGCAAGCAGGATTATAAAATTAATAGTGGAAGAACTAAACCAAATACAATGCGCGGGAACAGGTATTCTGATTGGTTTCACGTTTGTTCTCCACCTTGTGTTTTTGACTCCAAATACGTGGTCTTCATTAGATAAAGGGTAATGGAATCATAAGCAGAGTCCAAAAAAAATTAATAGAAACTATCAGATTCAGTTGCTACTCAGATTTCATGTGAGCTTACGACTATGCTTATGCACCCATTTTTTTTTCTTTTTTACTTTCATTGGGTCATAGGCACCCTGGTAACTGTGATTATGAATTCAAAACTGGCAACTTTAACTCCATCTCAAGTGCAAACCAGCCTTTGCAACAATGACCTGTTCACGTATCTTTTGACAGGTGATATCATTGCTTTCTGAGAATGCCACCTCCAGTAAAGCAGAAGGGTGACAGTGGAAAACGCAACCACAAATATAATGGTGAATGTTGACAGTACTCAGCGTATGAAACAAACGATTTTGAAATTTAAACTATATACTGTAGATTTTTCCGCAATTTTGAGAAAATAAACATGGCTGTCGTTCATAATAATCAGCACCACCGGGAATAAAATGAGTTTAAACTGAAAAGCATACCAAGGTTGAAGATATACAAAACAAGAACTGTTATCGAAAACATTAAAAGTACCTGAAAGTAGTCAGGCATACAGTTCCATGGTAATAGCAGCCAGAAACGAGCTACAAAAAAAGAAAAACTCAGGAAGCTCTCTTTGAAAAAACGTTACTAAATAATTCTTACCAAGGATCAGTTCGTCAATAGAGGTGATTTTCTCAGTTGTACTACTTAAAACAGCTAAATAAGCAGCTCGGCATTCTTTCATAAAGTTGTCAAACTTTGCAGTTGATTCACGCCGGACTTTCTCAGAGAAAGACACATTAGAAGCTCGCGAAGACAGGCTAGAATTCGATGATCTCCTGAATGGTTTGTTCCGCTTGAGCTCTGACATGACTTAAGCAAACAACATTCTCTTTTGAAAATCCTAGAGCTTGCCGATGAACATCAACAATCCAAATGTAGCTGTAGTGAAGTGATTTTGGGCAGTCTTACACCAAGTACTACCCGGACGATAGGGATGCTGGGTAAATTTGATGGCATTTACCGCTGATCAAGCTGCGCGCACACGTTTACAACAGATTACAGTCAAACCTCCTAATGCGGACACCAAAGGGACAGAACCAAGTGTCAATGAAGTGTCCGCTTTACAGCGGCGCCCGTATTATAAAGGTAGGAAATCGGGGCGGATCTAGGGGGAGGGTGCAGGGGGTGCGCCCCCCCCCACCTGAGATGACCTGCGCTTTTCTGATACAACTGGTATTCTGCAAAAAAAAAACTATGCGGTTTATTGGTGTTGAAGTAGAGCAAGAGACGAGTGCACCCCTTCCTAAAAAAAATCCTGGATCCGCCCCTGGAAAGGTATGATTTTTGGCATTTCTGGGACCAAATGAATTGTCCGTAATGGAGAGGTGTCCGTAAGGAGAGGTTAGACTATACATGAAAACTTTAGCTGGAAAACTTGAAAATTAAACAAACCTATTTCCAGTGATTTTTATGGTTAATCAAGGGGATTTTCCAAGGCTTTTACTGACTGTAAGCTTTTATGATAACGCAATAACCTTCGCATGTTGTTTTATAATTGATAGTTGTCAAAAACCCACATTATTGTGATTTCATTCAGATAACTAGAGTGTTGGTATAAAGGCGAGATCTGCGATTACTGAAGGCCAAGAGCTGCAGGAATCCCCCTGCGCGTCTCGGCGAAAGCCGGCCAAAAGATCTGTACATTTTTCTTTACGTCGAGTATCTCCAGACTGCTTTCAAAAAAAAGAGCTTTCACATGAGATAATTAATTTATTCAGGCTGAACGTTATTAATTCATTTTGAGTGGTGTTATACAGAATTGATTCTAGCCAAGATGGCTTCCAGTGTTTCTCGATTAGCCGGGTCTAAACGTATGCGTTACAGTATCGGACACTCAAAACGTGCCTCCCTTTTAAAAATGGACGCAATCCGGCCAATACAAGGTCGAAGTTAGATTTTGAGCGGTTTTATTCATTCGTTTCGCTCGACGGACTAAGAAAAAAGAGATACTTCTCGTAGTTTAGGTCGAAGTGAATAAAAAAAAATTGGTGTGGATGGTCACAGATTAAGGAAGCATGGACGAACGAGTGAGGTTAAGCCAAGAAGGGCAGCAGAAAGGGGAAGGGAGAGACCTCTCCCCGTTTTCCGGGTCCCGCCGCTCTTTCGCGTCTCGTTTCTCCTTTCTCTTATTCCTAGGCCGGGCCTTAGCTCAACCTACATACATACACACGGTCAGCACAAGCTTTCCTGAAAAAATAAAGGGTTAAAAAAATGATGAATGAAAACGATAATGATAATAAAAAATAAATAAATAAATGAGGGGGTTGGGGGCGGCAGGCTGATTTCCAAGTTGTAAAATTGTGTGCAGTCCTGGCCGCTCTCTGGAGGCGAGTGCACCTGACCTGGAATTTTCTCGGACTCGACATCTTTCAACCTTTAAACCTTGTAAGCGGACGAACACCTACGGCTACACGGTCTTAAAACAGCTCTGTTGGTACGGATTAAATCTTAAAGCTCAATCCATAGGAAGTAGCGACACCTGGGAACGAGGTTGGCGTAACAAGCAGTTTACGGGCGAGTGTTTTGTCGAGAAAGTTGGGTAGTGTCCGTATTAACGAGGTGTCCGTATTAAGCGGCTTGAATTTAGAGAAAATGTAAGGGTTTTCTTTCTCCAGGGACAATAATGAGGTGTCCGTAAAGCAGGATTTGACTGTCATTTGTCTCTCACTCTTCTATGAGAGTTCTAGAACTTGCCATAGAATCGAAATAGAACAAAACACGTTTTGCATAAAAATCCCTATCACTCTGAGTCTCCGTTAATATCCAAACCTTTAATACTGTGCGGCAGAAAAGCACTTTAAAAAACGGGTAGGGAGGGAGGCCGCTCATTTGTGTAGTGAAATCTAAAAAAATCTTTCCTCTGGGGCCGTAGTTTCCACACAGATGCTCCTGGAACTTCTCTAAACCAATAAAGACATACAATCACGGGCTCCCTCCACTCTTTCTGAATTTTCTGGATCCGCCCCATTTACCTGTAATGATTCGTGTCAATCGTTCGCTTAAATTGTCGCCTGGGGTTGTTAAATTGCTTACTGGCGGTTTTTTATTTACTTCTGTCGTAGGATTGATCACGGAGTAGATAGCGATCTGATCTTCACGTGTTTAAGGCGAAAATTGTTTTAAATTACTTTTTATAGAAACCAAAAGAGTTAAGAGTAAGGCCAATTTCCCTCTTGATTTCCAAACCCATCCTACTCTTACGCAAACTTTGTGTACGTGACGAAAACATTGAATCAACAACAAATCAATATCTTACTTAACGAGCCGGAACATACGCCGCGAGCCAGTTACATTACAAATATTCAAGGAAGAGACGAAAGAAAAGAGTTTTAGAAACTTAAAGCAAATTTTTTCCACAGTAGGTTGCTACTAACACTAATTGTTTTTATTAGTTTTACACTGGAGTCTGTCTGATTTTTTCAAATAAAATCTTATTTCCAATATTGTGTAGTCCACTCCATTGTGTATTTCTTGACGTTTCAGTTTATTTTCTTGCACGCAAAGACAGGAAATAAGTGGCTGCTTCCGTGAAAATATAGAGTTTTTGGACAACTTATACAACTTGATATAAATGTGGAATACAAAATGGTGTTGTAAAATAAGACAGTCAGAAGCGCGGAGAAATAACTCACGGTAAGCACGCGAAATGAAATTTAGAAAATTCAGTCATCGAAAATTGTTGACATGCTTCACTGGTTGAGCAGTATCAATTGCACGGTCGGTTGAGCAGTTTTATAGAGTTATTGATTTGAAGGATCTAGTACTTTGACATTTGCATTCTGTTTGAGTGGCACACTAAGCAAAAAGGCACGAGACGACTTTAGACGTACATATTAATACTTTAAAAAAAAAGTACGTAAGGGCGACTCTCGGAAGTGTTAGGGTCTTGACGAGTCTGGTGAAAATAAGAAAACTATTTTCGTTTCAAATAATGTATCACTACAAACTGGCTAAGACTACAGAAAATTGCTCAGTCCGAATGCATGTCAAATATTTCTTCAATTTAAAAATAAACACAAAACATTTAGTTTGGATAGCGGTGTGCGATGAGAAGGTATGGACTTGATGTAATCTGAAATGTAAGTTATAGTGTAACTGTTGAAACTATCACGGTTCCACTGCTAGCTGCAATAAAATGGCCGTGTACCTAACGTTTCAATCTCTTCATTTGCCGATCGAGAATGATATGACTATGTTGCCAACGCTCGATTCACTCACACAACCCGACACCGCGCCGTTAACGTTCGTTAATCCATATGGCCTCTTGAACCCTGCTTTGCTTTTATACCAAGAACCGATGTTACTATTTTGGTTATCTCCATATATGGATGCAAAATACGCCGCTATTGGTTCCTCTTGATAGATTGTTTGATTGAAGGGATCTGGGACCAATAAGATGACAGTTCAAAAACGGCAAATGACTTGTCACAAGAAACTGCTTATTTATCAATGTGCAGTGAACCAGGACATGCTTTCAACGTGCATAGCTAAGGTTCGAAAATGTCCTCGGTTGTCGATCCATTGCTGTCTACCGTAACTTTGGATTTATTGCGTCCTAAAGAGACTTTAGGAAATCCTGAAGATCATTTTAGAAAGGTGAGACAAAACTTATAAACTACCCGGGGAGTTGAACGAATAAGCCTTGCGTGATTTGTTTGTAGCAGCTCGCAGTATGTTACGAGCCAGAATAGAGTACTGTAGTAAATTTCAAATTTGTGTATCGTGTTGTTGAACGCTGGTCAAAGCAACCAAGTTTTCTTCTTTTTTTCAGCTATGGTTCGACATTGACTGCTTAAATTTTTCACAGTTTGGTGGGAAAGTGGATATATTTGACGAAGTTAGTGCTTTTGACTCGGAAAGCTCGCTGGATTCTGACTATGAGCTGAATTACAATGAGAAATACTTCTGTCAGGAAGATCTTATCGAAAGCAAGCTTAAAGACACCGCTTTACTGTTTGAATTGCCATACCAACAGGAGGGGATTACTCTGGAACTGCGTGCTAGCAGTCCAGATAATCTATCGAGTTCTACGAGTGAGCGATCGTCGATATCCTCCGACATTGAAATTCAAATAGATACCGACTCGCTCACGTGCTCAGACGTGGAAATGAAGGCTGTTAGCGAGCTGGAATCTCCACCGCCGGTCAAACAGACCTCAGAAGGAACACAAACTGAAGATAGCGACAGCTTTGCTGAATCCATGAACTCTGAGCCATTGACTAAATTGGCCAAAGCTAAACTTGTCATAGAAGGTTCCCCTAACAACTCGACCAGCTCTTCAAAGGCAAATTCTAATTCATTAAAAGGAACCAACACTCTAAATGTAAATGATGTGAAAGATGCATCCGAAACTGCTACCGTGCAGCTTCCAAAAGGAAAGAAAACATTGGCAAGGACACATAAATGTACATTTGAGGGCTGTAACAAGTCTTACACAAAAAGTTCGCATCTTAAAGCGCATCAGCGAACCCACACTGGTGAAAAGCCATACCAGTGTAATTGGAAGGACTGCGGATGGCGGTTTGCTAGATCAGATGAACTTACGAGGCATTATCGTAAGCATACTGGCATAAAGCCGTTTAAATGCACTACTTGTGACCGTAGTTTTTCTCGCTCTGATCATCTATCCCTGCATATGAAGAGACATTATTAATACAATGCTGTGGAATGATTGTACAGACAAGTACCTCAAATAGATTCGAGTCTTCAATAATGGAGCTGCAACCTACAAACATGGTACGAAAGTGACAATGTATATGAAGGTATCATTTTTGCAATTTTATCGGTATTGACGAGTTCCCAAGAAGAGACACTGCAAAATGTGGATTCCAAGAATGTTTCAATAACAATTGAAAAGTAAATAAAAACAAGAGAAAAATATTATTATTAAAGTGTAAAACACCATCTCGTTTCTGTGTACATTACATCGAGGAAACTTAAATAAATGCAAAGCATTTAGGCGACTTTGTCGTTGTTTGTTTCTTTTGGCGGTGGGAGGTAATGAATTGGCCTCGAGTAACAATTGTGAAGCCAATATCAAGCCAGTTCCCCAGAAGATAAATCATTATAATCATATTCAATCACTAGCAATCATGTGCTTTTTGATGCATAGTTTGTCACTGGTTCTTTCTAACATCAAATCATGCAGTGAATAATTTTGGGAGAGTTGGTTTTTTGGAACTAGCACTTTTTTGCTACCCACCGGTAAATCAGTTGTTTCACTGCAACGGTCAATAAATAACAGTGCAGATATTTCTCTCTTTGAAAGTTATTTTGAAATTTTTATAACATTTTCATTTGATATTGGCTTATTACTAAATTAAGAGCTGACGTGGCCATTTTTAACAGTCAAGCATCGTTTCCTTGTCAATATCCTATAAAATTCAGATTAAAAGCTCAACAAACAAATTGTGACATCTAATTGCAGAGCATAAACGAACTTACAGGGAGAGTTCCACACTTCCTTGCTACCCTTGGTAGCGTCTTTAAATAAAGGAATTAATAGGATCTTTGTGAAAGAATTACATCAAAGGAAAAACAAAATAAATTATATTGTGGTAATTCGTCTTACGGATGTGAAAGAATGCGAGGTTCAAAATTGTATCTTATAGTCCAGTCCAGAGTCCAAATTTTGGATTATGACCTCACTGTCAGAGGCAATTTATAGATTTAAAATCTTATTATATATATAATTTTGTATAAGGAAATTAACACATAAGAAGCCAGAATCTTCTGTTAACTGCCTACATTCCAGATGGTCTCGCAGAAGCCTCTGTTATCTTTTTTTTGTGTAAACTGATAAAGTGTTTTTATCAAAGCCAAAATTTGTTGGCATTTTCGGCTTGAAATTATCAACTCACGTTAAGGTTTGGTTAACATGTTCGCGTTCGTGGTGTAATTACTGGAAAGACTTCAAAGAATCCAGACCAAGCCGGAAACCTTCTTACCAGTTACTTGCATCGACTGTAATTTCATCGAATGTAAGCTAAAGGTTTTTAAATGCGTGACGCATTTCCCACTGAATGAACGTAACAAACATTCACCCTCTGAGTTGAGTCCTAATTGACTCCTAAGATCTGATTAGTATTAAATTCTCATTTTGGGCTGCCATTCATTTTATCGTGTATTAGTTAAGAGAATTTGAGGTTACATTATTTTCTTATATAAGAATGTTGTTTTTACGGCCTAGGCTGAATGTTCTTATCTTTCGGCCGATTTTAGGCTAAAAATATTCTTGTATTATTGCTATTTAAAAGTATAGCTTAATATGACATTTGCCTGATTTCCGTTTTAGAATATATTAGGGTATCAATTATGAAAAAAATAGTTAGAGCATTTTTTTCGTTTTGTTGGCTAGTTTTACCGTTTTGAGAAACGAGTAAGTTTTAACAATACAATAATATGTTTTTAAAAAAGGATATAACTATATTGTGTTTACAGATTTTCAACACAAAATTATATCCTATTCAAAATCTCAACCTGCGATTTATTCTTAGCATATTCGTAAAATTTCCCAAATTTCATCCCCGATATTCTTATAAAAAATATTCTTATAAGTAAGAGTGTATATGATGCTTTGGCCGATAAATTTTCGTCAGTTCTTATTACCTATTTGTTGCACAATGTGTTGGATATAATAATGAGAATTTATATGCCAATCACTTCTGGGAACTAACGGGTCAAATGAATATCAAATATTATTGACCGAAAGCCTACCTTTATACTTTTCTTCAAAAGGGATGAGCAGGAATTTTACACGTTTTATGAGGGTTCTAAATTCCGCTTTTATTCCAATGATGATAACTGCTTAGATCATAAGGCAGATTAAATTTCTTTGTAAACATTCTTTTTAACCCATCTAACACTCGATTTAACCCTTATGGTATTCAGCATAACATATAACCTTGATTCTCTTGTAGTGGAGAAGGGCATGCAGGCAGACAGCGATCGAGAATGCACAAAAACTGGGAACAGCGTCATTCAAGCCCCCTCAGTCCTACAAAATCCTGTCAGGGCACCCAACGACGATTTCCTTCTAAATACATTGATAACACTCTTTAGCCTATCCACAATACTTTTAGATTTCTAGAAATGCATTCTAAGCGGCGCTATAAAATTTGTATCTGTTCGGTCATCCTAGGGGAGCTTGACTCTTTGAAATTACAAGGGCGTATTACGAAAGTGAGACATTTTCTGATTTCTCTCTCCATTGCATTTTTTCTCTACGAAAAGTAAGCTAACTTGGGAAAGTGAATGTGAAAATTTAACTTCAGAAAATCGTAGGGAATTGATTGGATAAGCTTCGAAAATTTTACAAGTTATAGCCTGCGAGCAAGCTCTCCTAAAATACAAAGACTCACCATTAAATGGCAGCAACCTCGAAAGCCCCGGAGGTAGCACTCCCTATATATTTGGCCTAGACGGGTATGTGCCGCTGAACAAGTTGTGGTTTTCAGAGTCTTGGGACTTTTTCAGGTCATACAATTTCACTACACAAGGTTTTGAACAGGGTGTCTTCATTTGGACCTGACGCCTTTTAAATTAAAGAGTGCGATATGGTTCAGTGACGAGCAGACTAGTTTTGTGCTTCAACAGTAGCCAAGTCCTATTATGGCTTTTGGCTTCTTCAAACATTCTTTTCCCAATTAAAACAGTTTCCAAGATGTTAGTTAAATACGTAAGTCATAAAACGAGGTCAAACAGGGTAAGTGAAAAGGACGATTTTTGCCGTCTTTGATTAAGGAGGGTCAGGATTTGAAGGCCTTGAAAGCATTCCATTACTCAAACTTCCCTTTAGTTTTATAGGCCAACAAACCAACTTTTGCCGTACTTTTAGGTATACTGAGGAACATCGTGTGGGTCTTTTATAAGGCGTCTGTTCGACGGCTCGGTTATTCAGCTGAAACTGAAGCATATAAAATATTACTAAATTCTTTCTGAACGGACTAAGCATATGAAATATCCTTAGACCCTTTTTCTCATTTTTCTTGACTCCTCTGTGAAGTATCTCTGAAAATACACGAAACAAGAAAACAAGAGATGAAACAAAGCCGTAAAGCTATCACCAAAGCTTCATCCAAGAACCCATCAAAGTCCTCCTCCGAGTTTTCTTGCTCTACCTGGCTCTCTTTCAGCGTAGACGAGCGAAAAAAGGGGCCGATCAGCGCAGAAAAAGCGAGCAAAAGACAAAAAGGCGGTTTCTGCGAAACTTTTCCCGATTCACTTCCCTGCTATGTTGGAGCCTGGAGCGTGAAATTCTTTTCTCCTTATAAAATGTGATGTGGAAGAGGGGAACAAGAGCCTAACTTTGAGCTATCTTGTCAACCCGTACAAGCAAAACGATTCAGCTATAGGTTGACTTGAATGCGTGTTTTATGACATACCGAAGTAAGGAAAGAAATAGCAAGCATAGCATGCAAGCGTTTCCGCGTGACTTTGTTGAGAAATAGTGTATAGGTAGTTAGGTACCCTCAATGTTTGTTTTTATGACCGGAGGATGGTGTCGTTTTAGGAAAACATGCGACAGAACGCAAAGAATGATACTCACAAACAACGGCGTTAAGCATTAAATCAATTAAAATTGGGAGAGTTTTTAACGGATCTTTATTCAAGACATAAAGATTATCGTTAATTTACCTTCTTTGCCTCCTTACTTTATTACAACAGTGGAATTTCTCCGCCAGGGCCTGTTTACATGGAGGTGGGGGAGCCCCGGTTAGGTGAGATAACATGAGAAGGGCCACCCCACCTATCATGTAAACGTGATGAAATTAAAATGAGAGATTATATAGACAGGCGGGTTACCCTACCTAACCGGGGTTGTCTCACCTACCTGGGGTCCCCCACCTCCATGTAAACAGTCCCTACGACAGAGCTTGTATCGCTTTGAATATTAAATTTTGAGCAATTCATTCTTATGACAATTTGAACACACAGAGTTTTATCACCATCTTGCAGTTGTAAAGTTCCTAGTGAAGTCAAGCAATTCAAACTTTGGGTGGATTTGTTTGCAACATACAAGTATAGCTGTCGCATCTGCCCGCTGGGATTTTTTATTGTTTTTAGGCCTAAAAACAGTAAAAAAAATTCCAGCTGGCAAATATGGCTGCTATACGCGTATGTTGCAAATTATTCCACCCTTTATATAATGGACAGGGCGTGGTCCTATCACAATTGGCTGATATCAACAGAACCCTGCGTAAATTATGCCTACACAATAAACACAATATATAGATTTAGCCAGGGCTAAAAGCGAAGCTCTCGTTAATATACTCACAGTTTACCCTAAGAAAAAGAAAAAAAAGTTTAATGCTAAACGGCGACAACAACGGGAACGGCATAAAAAAAATCAATACGTCTAATTAGCAAAAAAACAATTTCGCACGTGCAGCACACTTTTTGTACATTTCTTTGCCGTTGTTTTGCACGACTACAATTTCCTAGTTCCAGAAACTTCCTAGTTTCTACGCGCTTTATTGAGGAAATGTCGTATGTATTCCTGTCCACATTTTTTCACTGCCGCTCATTTGCTAGCTTTGTCATTTCCTCACCTCCTGATATGAAACTTTTCGACCAAGAAAGTGACTTGTAAACACTTTTTTAAATGTTTTCTAGAATGACTGCAGGTTTCTCCCATGGAAAGTCTCCAAGCACAGCCGGTCAGCTGGCCGGTGTGGGATGGATCGTGTCCTAACACGCTCGATATTCTGGATGGATTACCGTATTTATTCGATTAACCGCCCTGGGCGCTTATTAAATTTTTGGACCTTGAGAATGGGCGCTTATTCGAGGTGGGCGCTTATTCGAGGCTGGGCGCTTATTAAATTTTCAACATTTTCAGCTAGTGTAGTATGTTTATTTTGCAACAAAACAATAAATGGTAAAAACAAAACGCGAAGATGTAACAAAGCAAGGTCTGTAAAATACTCTGAAGAAAACTCCGTCTTCGGGGAAGTCTCTTAT